ATATAGAGCTACCTACTTAGTACTTATACCTTAGCTAAACTATAAGGATAAGTCCTTAGGAACCTTATTAATAGAGTAAGATTACTAGATATAAATATCGGCGAAAACCCCTAAATATAGGCTTTACCTACTAGAAGATCTATACTCTACTAGGCTAGCGCTAAAATTAACTATCTAGAAGAACTCCGCTAAGTCCTAGATAAGATTAAGTCTCTACTACCTACCTATATAGATCTTTTAACTTTTATAAAGAAGGAATAGTAAGAATTTAAGCGCTTAGGCGCTTAGTAAGAATTTATAAGGGGGAAACTATTACTAAATAACTAATAGCTAAAATATAGATATAAGTTTAGAAGTAAAAATAGTAAAATAATAGTATAGATATACCTATATTAGGCCTACTAGGTATAGATAAGTAGAATTTAGATATAAATAACTACGAATCTAAGGATAATACTATATTAGTAATATCCTTAGGTTATAAATTAGTAGAGGATACTTATTAAGAACCTATAGGTTTAGCCTAATTAGTATACCTATTTATAGTTATAATCCTACTACTATTAGAAGCTATAAGATAAGTAATAAAAGAAAGAGCTTAATATAATTTAAATTAGACCTAATAGGGCTAATATAGGAGCGCTAGAAAGGTAAGCTCTAAGGAACTAATATATATAAGAAAGAGGGGCCTTACTACCCCTCCCTTATAGTAAAAAGAGAAAGAATTTAAGAAAAAGGGCCTAAATAGGCCTATAAAACTACCTATACCTAAGAATACCTAGCGAAAACCCTAAGGGATCTTACTTTTTCTTATTTAAGATATCTATAGAGCTCTTACTTAATAGGGAGTTATCTCTATTACCGCTAAAGGAAGCTAGAATATCCTACTCTAGATTATCTATAGTCTTATAGAGGGTTTTAAGATTATACTAGACCTAGTTATATACTTTATAGACCTATTTATATATATTAGTAGCTAAGGCCTAATTAGCTATTTTATATATATATAGCTACTCTAGGGGGCTAGTATATAGCTCTTAATTATATATAGGGCCTAACTAGGGAGCTATAGAGGTTTATATAGGAATAGAGGGGAGGTTCTTTACCTTAGTACTAGTATAGTCCTTACCTTTTATATCCTTATATCTCTTACTCTTCTAGGTACCCTTATCGCTAGTAGGAGCCTAATACTTCTTAATAGGGGTTTATAGAGTAGGAGTAGTAGTAGTAGGGGCTATAATAGGAATAGTAGTAGCTTTTCTAAGTATAGTTAACTTTATAAAGGTCTTAATAGGCCCTTTCTTAGTAGGAGTATAGATAGTACCCTTTAGGGGGGCTAAAGCCTATATTATAGGGTCCTATAAATATAAGCTTAAAGGCTAATAATACTTTATAAGCTAGTATAGCTATAGGGAGAGATAGGTAAAGTTACTAGTAGTACCTATATAATTAATTAGTACTAAATAGACCTATATAGGAAAGGAACTATACTTATAGAAGGTATATTTATTAGCTATACTACTATACTAGTAGTAGATATATATAAGGCCCTACTAGAACCTAGTACTAGCTAGGAAGGTAATATAGTAGGAGTTAAATAGGCTATTACTATAGATATAGGGGTTATATATAATAGTAGTAGGGGCCTTATAGCTATAAAAAACCACTAGGAATAGAGATAGGGAGAGATATAGGGGCTAGAATAGTAGTAGTAGTAGTAGTAGGGGTAGGAATAAGAGCTAGAAATAGGGCTATAAGGGCTAGAATAGGAGTAGCGATAGTAGTAGGGTTAGGAATAGGGGCTAGGGTAACTAGGGTAGTAGTAGGAATAGGCCTAGGAATAATAGTAATATTATTATCGCTATTACCCCTATCTCTATTATTACCTAGTATAGCTCTAGTAGTAGCTATATAGTCTCTAAGGGGTAGGGGTAAAGCTATATACTCTACTAAATCTAGGAATAACTTAAGTAGAAGGAGATTACCCTATATATAGAAATTAGATCTATAGAACCCTAAATAGATTAACCCCTTTAGGGCCTTAGAGAATATATAACCCTCTTTAGTATTATTATTATTAGAGGAATAGGGGTTAGATAGACTAAAATAGGCCTAGAAGTAGATATACTTAAAGCTAGCTATAAATCGATACTCCTCTAGGAAAGGCTTAGATAAGAATTTATTAAAGAAATAGGTGTTACGGACCTATCAGGCACCCAGCGACCCAAACTACCCCACCAGCATTATAGGCCATCGAGAGCCAATCAACCTAGATCATGTGTAAAGGATACCCTAGCAAACCAGAAATCGTGTCATATGATTATATAGGTAGTAGATAGGTCGACGGTAGAACGATAGATTCCGCTAAGATAAATCTACTAAGCTACTATCTACCTAACTACTCCTAGGAAGATAGGAGGATATATAAGGACGTTCATTTATATACTTAGTTTAGTTCTTCGTCTTTAATCCTACATTATTACTTATATATACTTTTAAGAAATATAAGACTCTTGACTAAAGATATAACTTGATAACACTATAAGTTAGACTAATACCCCGGTATAGATCTACTCGGCGCTCTACCTGGCATCGATTCCTCGATATGACTCCTAGGGACTTAGGCTATAGTAAGGCCTACGGATAAGGTAATAGCTTAGTGATAATAGATATATCGTTAACGTTAGAAAACCCGAGGCGTAATAAGGTAACTATACCCTAAACTATCTAACCTAACTATGACTAGTTAGTTAGTGCGTAATATATTAAAGACTATCTCGATCTTAGTCTCGAGTCTAAACAAACGACAATATATCTCAAATCGAAAAGAGAGTAATATAGGCTCCGGTCTAGCAACCTAAGAAAGAGGAACCGGACTCTAATAATAAGAGAGATAAGACTATTGCGAGGTAGGAAAAGCAACTAGCTAACCTACGACGTAACCTGGAAAAAGCTATATAGGCCATCAACGATCACGACGTAAATAATAGTAGTAAGTTCGGATAAGTCGACGACTTCCTCGAATAACTTAAGTAATAGGTAATCGGCTCTACACCTACTAGCGCGGCCGGTATACTACGACTCCCTAAGGTAGAATACTTTAAAGGAACCTAATCTAAGCTTCGAGGATTCCTTATATAGATAGATATACACTTAGATATAAACCGAGATAAGTTACCTAGCGAAGCTAGTAAGGTGATTTTTGTATCCACTTACCTACGCGGATAAGCCTAGAACTAGCTCGAGCTATATATATAAGATTATTATAAGAAGGTGCCAGAAGAATAGTTATTTACTACCACTTCTATCTTTAAGAGCTATACTAGCTTTAGATAACACCTAGAACGAACGTTTAGAGATATCGACGCCTAACGAACCGCTAAAAGAAGACTATAGAAGATTAAATAGTAGGGCAGCGCGTTGGTCTATATATCCGAATTCTAGTAGATTATATCCTACTTAGACTTACCCGATTGAGTGTATATTCTATACTTCGAAGTAGGGTTAAAGCTAGAAGTTAAGGACAAACTAGTATAAATCGATAGACCTAATACTTTAGATTAACTTATCGCTATCGCTATTAAGATCGATAACTATATTAACAAGAGATAATATAAGCGACGAGAAATAGAGTAGTGGAAGAAGGGTAAATTATATAGATTTAATCGATTCCGATAGTATAGGCGCTACAAGAAAGTACTATGTGATAATAATCTATATAGCCTAAAGCCGATAGAGTTAGACACTACTTAAGATAAGTAGAAAGAGTGTTGATAGAAAAACCTTTGTTTTATATATAGGAAACTAGGACACTATATTCGAGAATATAAGAATAAGAGGCCTAATAGACCACGGCCTAGGTACTAGGCTCTACGTGAAGAACTATATACGATATAAGAATAGATACCACGCGAAGAACTATATACGATATAAGAAAACGAATACCTAATTAGCGAGTTATTAGAAGATCTCTTGGTAAGATAGAATAACCTAAGCCTAGAAGAGATATTAGCCGGTAACCTATATATTAAAGGGTTAACCGAAGGGCTATAAGCGGAATTCCTAGAAATCGAGTGGGATACGATAGAAAGTCAAGGATAGACCTAGTATATAAACCTAGGAGCTAGCGACTCCTAGGAAATAGGCAACGACTTCTAGGAGTAAGAAGTGGGTCACCTAGGGACGCTAGTCATGTCCCTAGGAAACCAGGAGAACCTAGAGACCTCCTAAGGGGCTAATTAGAGCGTAGAGCCTAACACACCGCTAAGAACGAACCGAGCGATCCTAATTAAGGGACTCGAAGACTTAGAAGAAGGAATACCTAAGTACGACTATAGATAGAACTATAAGGGAGCCAAGATAGAGCTTTAGGACTGCCTCTAAGAATAGAGTTAGGTCGACGCGTTAGAAGGAAGGATACTTAATATTATAAATAGAAATAATCTAATAGGATACCCTTATAACGATTCCGCTTACGCGTATAAAGGATATACATAATACCTAGAGTATAGTAGGATAGCTAGTGTGATATACTATGACGAACTATACACAATTTATAGGTCCGGCAAGTTAGATCTAGGTATCGAACTAAGGCCACTAGTGTGGATGAAGAAACCATAATAGCGAAAGGAATACTAAGGAATTTAGCACAATAGGCGATAAATATATGATTATTAGAACTAGCTAACCGAACACCTCGCCGCGATAATATCGGGAACTTATATTAAACTTTATATAGAGTTGCCTACCGGAAAAGCCTAGACACTTATTGATTTAGGAGCAACGAACAACTTTATAAGCCCAATATTCTAGGAAGAATAAAGAATTTAAACCTAAGGATTACCTTATATAATCCTAGTTAGCGGACTAGATAGAGAAATACTCTTAGGAGGAGTAACCAAAGAAACTATAACACTCTATATAAATATTAACTAGTACCTAGAGAATATTAAATTTAATATTCTAGCTATTAGGAACTACAATATCGTTCTTGGTATACTATGGCTTTAAAGGTATAACCCTAGTATTAACTAGTAGAAGGAAACCATTAAATTTAATAGATATAGGTATATCGAACGGGGACCCTACGATCGATCACGAATTAGGAAACGACCTACAATAAGATAGGACAAAACCCCTATAGCCATTAAATAAGTACTAGATATATCTAACTAAGAATTGTCGGAATATATACTTGTTAAGAGCGAGAAGCTATACACGACCGATAGCGAACCCTGGATTCTAGAAGAGTATAAGGATTACCAAGATATATTTACCCTACTAGAGGAGGGTAAACTACCTAAGCATAGTCCATTTGACCATAAGATTAATATTATAGAAGGCTCCGAACCAACCTTTAAGCCTATCTATCAATTATTGTAGAAAGAATCCGATATACTTAAGGAATATATCGATAATAACCTAAAGAAAGGTTATATCTGAGCCTCGAAATCACCGGCCGGATACCTAATTATTTTCGTACCTAAGAAAGATAGGTAGTTACAACTTTGTGTGGACTATCGATATTTAAATTCGATCACTATTAAGGACCAACACCTACTACCACTTATTCACAAGATATAGGGTAGGATCGGAGGAGTAAAATACTTTATAAAGTACAATATCACTAATACTTACTATTGTATTAGGATCAAGCCAGGACACAAATAGAAGACAGTATTTAGAACTAAGTTCAGACACTACGAGTACCGAGTGATACTATTTAGCCTCACCAACGTACCCACTACGTTTCAGCGATTCATCTTTAAGACCATAGAGGAACATGTGCAGCACAATAAGAAGGTACTACAGAAGCTAAGGGAAGCGGAAGTCACCCTTAAACTTAAGAAATACGAGTTTTATACACAAGAAACCACGTTCCTTAGATATTGTATTAGTCCCGATAGACTAGGAATAGAGGAAGATAAGGTCAAAAGTATTATAGATTAGCCAATACCCAAAAACGTTAAGGAAGTACAATAATTCCTTAGACTAGCTAACTATTATAGGAAAATCATCGATAGATACACTAAAACGGCTATAGGGCTATATCGGCTAACTAAGAAGGAATAGTCCTTTTTATAGGACAAATAAGTAGAGCAATCTTTTAATAAGCTCAAAAAGCTATTTACTTAAGGAACTATCGTCGCTATATTTAACTATAAATAACCTATTATTATAGAAACAGACGTATTAGACTACGCCCTAGGAGCAAGACTTACCCAGCCAGGGACAAATAGGAAATACCGACTAGTGGTATTCTAGTCTAGAAAAATAATCCTAGTAGAGCTTAACTACGATATATATAATAAGGAACTCTTAGCTATAGTCTTAGCTTTCTAAGTCTAGAGAGTATACCTCGAAGGAGTAAAATATATAGTGGTAGTTAGGTTAGACTATAAGAACCTTATATTCTTCACTATGATAAAAGTGCTTACCTAACAATAAGTATAATAGGCTGAAACCCTAGTACAATATAATTTTAAAATCGAATATTGTAAAGGAATAGAGAATAGCTAAGTAGACGCTCTTAGTAGATAACTAGATTACGAGTTAGGAACCAAAGTAACGGAACCCGCTATCCTAAAACAAAATTTAGATAGAATAATCTTATATAATCGATAAATACTAGCCACCACGCTAGAACTACAAGATAATAAACTAATCTAGAGGATCAAGTAAGAAGTAGAAAAAGACCAAATCTAAGAATTAGCCAGAGATAACGGTAAACTAGTCAGAAATCAGGAAGGAACCATCCTGATATATAGACTGATCTATATACCCTCGAATATAAGGAAAGAAGTGATCTAGAAACACCATAACAACCCTACTCACGGATATATAGGGGTAGAAAAGACTATCGAATATATTTCACAAAACTATTATTTTCTAAATATATATCGAAAAGTTAGATTCTATATCAAGAATTACGATATATACTAAAGGAATAAGCTAGTATAATATATACTATATAGAGAAATATAACTATCCGAGACTCCTACAGAACCATAGGATTAGATTACAATAGACTTTATTATAAAGTTACTAATCTCTAACAGATATAATATAATTATAGTTATAGTTAATAGGCTAACGAAGTATACCTATATGATTCTAATAACGGAAACTATCACCACCGACAGAATAGCTAATATTGTCTTGCGATATATAGTCGCTAACCACGGACTACTAACCAAAATTATATCGGACCGAGATAAATTATTTACCTCTAATATATAGCAATCCTTTACGGATTAACTAGGTATTAAATTAAGAATATTAATAGCCTATTACCCACAAACCAATAGATAAATAGAGAGAGTGAACTAAACACTAAAGCAGTACCTAAGACACTATATAAACTACTAACAAGATAATTAGGTAGGACTATTACTAATAGCGTAATTAGTATACAATAACACTATATATATAATAACTAATAAATCACTATTTTACGCAAATTTTGGGTACTACCTAAGGGTGATTAGAACCCCGCGAGGATAGGTAGCTATAGCCGAATTAGTAAGACTCAAAGCCACTAAGCTTAAATAGCTCTATCTATAGCTATCCTAGGATATCGATTTCGTTAACCTCTAAATAAAGAAGTACTATAACAATCAGTATAAAGGAGGGCTAGACCTAAAAAAGGGGGAAAAAGTCTACCTACTACAACAAAACATTAAGATAAAACAACCAAGCGATAAACTCAACTATCTACGATTAGGACCCTTTAAAATCGACGAAAAAATAGGATAAGTTAACTATCGATTAAAACTCCTATATAGCATAAAAAGACTTTACCTAGTATTTTATATCTTATTACTTGAACCTATATTAAACGATACCAAAATCGCTACCGATATAGAACTCGATATAGAAACCGAAGAAGAGTACAAAGTTAAACGTATCCTAGCAGACCGATAGTATAATAGTTAGCAACAATTACTAGTATAATAGAAAGGTTACCCTACCTTAGAAAATATATAGGAACCTATCGCGAATTTAAGGGGCTACTATTAGCTCGTTCAACAATACTACTAGAAGGTAAAGCGAACTCCGGAACTACGAGAGGTAAGGAAGACTCGGAATCCTAGAAAGAAGAAGGGAGACCAATAATCTCCGATAATATCTAATCGAAGTCAGGATAATCGGTAGTAGTGGCTAACTACTCTAGATCAAGAGTAGAGGAGGAAGGCTACTTAGGGGATAAATATTTTTTATCGAGAATTTAAAGAAGCTTAGTATCATACTCTAACATTTTAAAACCCTTTTGTTTTAAGAAAGCTATTTATTTTCTTAACTATCGCTAACGCGATATAGCCTCTTAATATTGTTTTTGTTTATTTAGCAATTTTTGGTGTAACTCCGCAAGATAAGATTATAGCGTAGATAACTCGGGCTCTAGTAAATCGAGCTCACTTTTATTCTTTTCAATATTAACGGAAAGTTTATTTTCGGTATCACGTAATAGATCCTACTCACAAGAAGTGTAGAAGTCTTATTTATATAACCTACCTACCTATATATAGGTAGCACACTTAGAATAACAATAAGAACGATCTATTACGTAAGATATACCTAAACCAAGGTAGTGACCATAAGGAATAGTAGTCACAAAACTATTCACCTTAATATAGTCTGCTTATATATAATAAGTAACTAAAGAATCACGAGGAAGCTTAGGAGTACTTTCCAAGATAGAATTAGCCTTACGTTTAGGTATAACGGGATAGGAAGGATAGGAAACCTGACTCACCGAAGAAAGAGGGGGACCACGGATTTATAAGCTTCGAGGACGAAACTCCTAGAAAGGAGGAGGTGATATTACAGACCTATTAGGCACCCAGCGACCTAAACTACCCTACCAGCATTATAGGCTATCGAGAGCCAATCAACCTAGATCATGTGTAAAGGATACCCCGGTAAACCAGAAATCGTATCACGTGATTATATAGGTAGTAGATAGGTCGACGGTAGAACGATAGATTCCGCCAAGACAAATCTACCAAGCTACTATCTACCTAACTACTCCTAGGAAGATAGGAGGATATATAAGGACGTTTATTTATATACTTAGTTTAGTTCTTTGTCTTTAATCCTATATTGTTACTTATGTATACTTTTAAGAAACACGAGACTCTTGACTAAAGATATAACTTGACAACACTACGAGTTAGACCAATACCCCAGTATAGATCTACTCGGCGCTCTACCTAGCATCGATTCCTCGACACGACTCCTAGGGACTTAGGCTACAGTAAGGCCTGCGGATAAGGCAACAGCTCAGTGACGACAGACGTATCGTTGACGTTAGAAAACCCGAGGCGTAATAAGGTAACTATACCCTGAACCATCCAACCTAACCGTGACCAGTTAGTTAGTGCGTAACAATAGGCTATATCTAGAGATAGGAATAGTAGGTTCTTCTTTACACTAAAACGTTAGTAAATAGACCTATAAGACCTAGAATCCTATAAAAAGGACCCTATAAAAGTATCTAGGGGCCTTAAAAGGATATATATACTACTTTTCACTATCTTTATAGATAAAATTAGGCTTATAGTAATAGAATTAGAAGTATAGAAGGATAAAAAAGGGAGTAAGGTTATAAGTAACTAAGAAAAGGGGTAAGAAAAATTAATAGGTAGGCCACTACTATAGGATAGATCTAAGGCTATTCTTATAGCTAGGGGAGGCTCTTAGAGATAATCTCTAGACTAAAATCGCTATTTTTATATCTTAAAGAACTACTTTTTATCCACTAATAGTTATTATACCCCTTACTACTTCTCTTACTTCTCTCTTTTACTTAATTCCTTAATAATTTACCACTAGATTTTAGCCCTTTATCTATAAAAAAGGGCTATAATAATATATAAAGGCCCTAGGGCCTAAAAGAAGCTATTTTTATTATATTATATAGATTTTCTTTTATCTCTTTATAATTATACTAGTTCGATTATAAATAGACTAAATTAGGTCCCTATACTCTTTACGAACCTCCTTAAAAATCCTTTATAACTAATATAGTTAATAGAGGACCGTTTTTCTAGTTACTAGGGGAGGAAGAAGCTAAAAATCTCACTTTTTTCACCTAGAAACCCCTAGGCGAAAGCTTAAACTTACGAAAATATATAAGTAGGACTATAAGATATTAAAACTAGAGAGTAGTTCTAGTTCGGTAGGGGAGGATAAGATCCGAAAGCTTATTTCAAATATAAGACTTACGTCTCTAGTAACTATACACACCTATATAGGCCCGCACGTGACTACTATCTGCTATAGTGGTCTATCTACGGACCCGTACATATCTGTATATAGTCGATAGATCCTCCTAGGAATAAAACTCATGCGATCCTTTCTGAATCACACTAGCAATTTATAGGTTGTAGGTAGGAGGTATGGGCCGCGGATTACTAATTCAAAATTACTGAACAGCTGGATAAACTAAATCTCCGGTATACCGGTTCGTATGCTCCGACATAACGTAATCTGAATAGCTGACCTCGGGAGGTCCCACCGAGGTCACTGCGGCCTTCAGTACTAGGTGAATCTGCATAGTGGAGTTTAAAGAACGTCCTACATGATTTAAGAGAGTATGTATGCTTACAGATGTACCACTCAGAATTAGATAAGGTGGAAAGTATTCAATTGCAACTACTTTCAAAACTTCAAATGTACATATCACGCCAGCCGGGGTATCATATCGTCACCTTTCAAAGCAGACAGAACCAGCCTGTACCCATGGCCTATCCAGGGAAATCGAAGAAAGAGAAAGATGCGAAGAAATCGAAGAAGAATAGTGCAATGGTCAGTAGTCCTCCTGCACCCATGAACGCCAGCATCCAATATCCAATACAGGCAGTAAAAGCTCAAACCCAACCGCAAACGAAAAGAGAGTCGTCATAAATCATCGCCTGATGAAAGGACATCAATTGACATGCCAATCAAGCGGCTGAAGTGACCGGAGTTTTGCGACCACCTGGAACACCGGGTCTCTTGCCTACATCCATTCCGCCAGCAGAGACATCAGCCTCCCCATTGGCGTCAAGGGACGATGAGTCTAAATCGGGGGCGACAGTCGAAAAAAGAATGCCACCGAAAAGGGGTTGGCTGTCATCGTTGGAGAAAAGACCACCGCCGTTTCGAACTCCCATGGCATGCGACATCTGCTCTTTGATGCGGACGTATCGGTATTTTGACTTAGTGGTGATTAAGGGATGGCGAACAAGAGGCTGAGGTGCAGAACGGGCAATGGCAGCCATGACAGCGTCTCTTTCCTCATCCGAGTCAATAGGACCTGTGTTCTCGATGTCTTCCTGCAGAGGAGCGTTGGCATCAATAGCAGCCTCTGCAATTCGAACGGGTTAGTCTTCTCGTGATCTATAATGAGAATGGATGAGGTGTAAGCTTACTCTGCTGGCGAGCCTGGTTCTTCTTCTGGTACTGCTGGAGAAGCATATCATACGGCAGTGTCCGTCCAGGAACCGAGCGCTTGGCACCCATTGAATGGCTCTTGCAGGTCAAGGAACGAGCACACTGCGCGCCGTTGGGAAGAGTAACACCACACTGTTTTTCAACATCGACGGGGCCCTTCGGCTTGGCCGTCTTTTGCTTGGGCTCGTCCTTCTTCTTCTTTTTCTTTGACTCCTTGCCGTCATCCTCATCGGCCTTGCGCTTCTTGCCCTTCTTATTGCCATCGTCGGTGCCCTTGGTAGCGCTCTTTTTGGCGCTTTTCTGACCCATATTGGGGTTGTCTCCGTCGACCTTGTCGGGGCCGTCATCGTCTCTATCGTCGCCAGCCTTCAGGCGATTGGCCGCGTCGCGGGCTTCCTTCTTTTTGCGCGCCTTCTCCTGCTTGGCCTTCAAGCAGCCGCGGACATGGTCCGCTGCGGTCTGCTTAAGAGTGGGTCGCTTGCAATGCTTGCATATTACGGTCTCAAGGAGGTCATCCTCGCGCGGCTTGCCGGTCGGGAATACAGAGACAACTTTGCTGTCAAGGGTGGGGAGAGGAGAGGCGGCAGGGGAGGTATCGACAGGACCGTCTTTGGCCTCTATGTGCTTGTTATTATCATCAATGCCTTTGAAAACACGTACAAGGAGCTGTACCGTCTGCCTTCTTCTTCGTAGATGCCTTGGCCGTCTTCTTCACCTTGATCTTGCCAGGTTTGGTATCCTTGTCTGTGAAGGTGTACCCGGAAGCGTCAACCAAACTTCCTGGTCCTACCAATGAACATGGAGTTAGCTTAGATTGCTTCTAAATGTATTATGCGCCGAGCTTGATGTCAAAGTATCCCAAGTCTCTGGCGCTTTCAACAGGAATAAGGCATTGTGTACCTCGACCGGGGTCACCACTGTTCGCCATGGTGAGCGCAAACTGAAAGAATAGCGAGAGACAGGATGGTTTCTTATCACTCGAAAAGCCTCTGAAATGGCGTCAGTGGGAGGTTATTAAGGAATGAGTTCAGTCTCCGGAGTCAAGGTCGGCCTGGGGCTCCGGAGTAGGATTAATCACGTGCCATCTATTAATCTATTGAACCCGCATTTTGGCCTCTATCGTGCTTTGAGCATCACATTTTTAGATTATTGTCAACGAAGATCAATGGGTGGGGGGAACGATATTCTTTGAATCAAAACCGTCAAATAATAGTACATTGCCAGTCAATCAGATCGATTAGGCAGCGATTCTTTCTAGAGTCCATGCCAAGCTCCTGGCCACATAATAGTCAACAAAAGTATCATACAATATTATATCATACAAACAAAGATCATGAATAATTAGCAAAGCAAAGGCTACTGTTTGTACCCCCAAAGCCAAAGCTATTTGTCAAGGCAACATCAATCTGTCGTGACTGGGGATCTTTCGGCGCATAGTTGCAATCAAACCCATCAGCCAAGCGATCTAGATTGATAGTAGGGGGCATAGTATTCTGTTCCTCGTTAGCACAAGCTTTAGCACAGTATGTCCAATGCAAATATGCAACTCACCTCGTGGATTGCAAGTACACTGATCAAAGCTTCTATAGCACCAGCACCGCCAAGCAGATGACCAAGAGCACCCTTTGTGCTGCTAACGTTCACATCAGCAGCCTTATCTTTGCCATCAGGGCCAAGTAGAAGTGCCTTTATAGCAGCGTTTTCAGCAGCATCGCCGACAATGGTCGAAGTTGCATGTGCATTGACATAGTCAACCGCAGAAGGGCGTAACTGGGCTTGTTTAAGCGCCTTTTTCATAGCCATAAATGCACCTTCGCCATTTTCCTTGGGCGAGGTCATATGGTGTGCATCGCTGGAGCACCCATATCCTTTGACTTCTGCATAGATTCGTGCCCCTCTTGCGAGAGCATGCTCTAACTCCTATGGTTCGGACATTAACGTCAGGTTGTTGTATATGAATACGAGGTAGTACACATACCTCAAGAATCATCACAGCTGCTCCTTCACCGACCACAAAGCCTGCACGGTCGGCATCGAACGGACGTGAAGCCTTCTCTGGGTTATCGTTAAACCCCGTCGCTAGACTTCTTGCGCGCGCAAAGCCGCCTATGGCTAAAGGATGGATACATGACTCGGCACCACCGGCAACCATCACATCAGCATCACCGCAGGCAATGAATCGAGCTGCATCGCCAATAGAATGAGCGCCAGTTGTACAAGCCGTCGTCGCGGAATGACTCGGACCCATGAGCCCGTACTTCATGGAAATATGCCCAGCGCCAAGGTTTATCAGCAGCTTTGGCACGAACAGTGGATTGACCTTCTTGTAGCCCTGTGGAACGAGTTAGTTGTAGGCTTTCCAGACTATGTACGATAGAAGAATCCCACCCCTCTGTCGTAAGCTATAACCGTGTTGTAAATTTCATCAAAATTTCCGATGCCTGATCCCAGGCAGACTCCCTATCAAAATGGTAAGTAAAGCTGCCAAACCAGCACATATCCCCACACATACTGTCGCCTCCCTCTGATCAAAAAACTCCGGCTTCCAGCTCGCATCTTGAAGCGCCTCTTCTGTCGCTGCCATGGCATACTGCGCAAATTTGGCCATCTTCCGCTCCTCCTGACTCAAAGTGTCAGCATTGCAGATATAATACAATTCGCCAAGCGAAGTTAGTCGAAAAAAGTTACTTACACCCCGATTCAACCATTCCGAGGCAGTCCAACCCCCATCCTCACGACTGCCCTGTGGCACAACAGCAGCAACCTGACAGGGCTGCTCAGCAAAACGTTCATCGCGGTCCTTCACGTTAACAACGCCGCAATGGCCATCTAGTAAACGTTTCCATGTACGCCGAATTCCTGCAGCCAAGCAAGGTGTTAGTCACGGTAGCATCCACAGATTCCAAACACCAAAGTACAATCGAACGCGTATAGTAAAACGCCGTGTGTATACGACGGGTACTGTCTCTTATCTACAGGTGTCCACTAATCCGCATGCCCTTCGTCATTGGCTGTCGCAACCTTCCCATTCCGGAGGGGGAAGTGGGGACGTACAGGGAGCTCGAGAGCCCGGAGTCCGGGGATATTGGATATCACACAGAAGCTCCAGGATAATCAGAAATGAGGAAAGTAAGGCAGGGATGGCCTTTCTGACAGATAGAGTCCCAGGATTGCGGAATTACATGGATAGTACCCGATAACATTCTCAGAGGAGCTCTTGAGGTCGTCCGTTGAGCTATCAAACCAGGAAAAAAACGAAAAGGGGGAATTTAAAAAGAATAGAACACACAACGCACCTACACCTAGCGGTGTTACCGCCCCAAGACCAGTTACAACAACTCGCCGCATTGCATCGTCAAAAGCGTTGTATAAAAGCTATCAGAGAGTGTCAAAGGAAAGAAAACCGAAAAGCGGGCCAAAGCCAAGAAGGGAAAGTCTGCACGACGGGCACACCTTATCTGCTCGTCTTTCCCTTTACAACACTGCTACTTCAGGAAACTTGACGAGACAATATGTAGAATAAAATATCTTCATTTCCAATCTCTCTTCTCCTTCATTCCAATCACTCTAGCCATGCCTACTTGGAAAACCTTCCTTACACTGGCTTTGGCCGGCTCCGCGGCCTCCTGCGCGCACCACGATAACGGCGAGGTAGTGCCCGAACATGAGCGGGCGGAACTACTCAAGAAGTGGGATCAGGAGGTAAGATGATACTACAGTATCCAGGTGATGAACTTGAAGATCCCTAATATGTGACTATCCAGTGGTCCTTCTCCGGCATTGCCAGCTTCGCCCACCTAAAGCCCGTCAAGTGTCTGATCGAGCCCGATGAGCACTACGACATTGCCATTATTGGCGCGCCATTCGATACAGCCGTCAGCTACCGACCAGGTAAGAAAGCAACCCCTCCTAATCCTATCACCTGCCACGGACGCAACATACAATCAAATCTAGGAAGCGCACTTACTAACAAACACCCGCAGGTGCCCGTTTCGGACCACGCGCAATCCGCGCCGCGAGCGCACGCCAAATGGCCGCAACAAGCTACAACACGCGCGCCGGGATCAACCCATACCAATCCTGGGCTAAGATCACCGACTGCGGCGACATCCCCATCACACCGTTCGACAACGGGCTCGCCGAGCGCCAGATGTACGAAGCGTTCCTGGAGCTTGGGTCTCGCAGCATTGTGAACAAAGCCCCCAAGGCTAGCGGGATCGGCGCCAAGCACCCCAAGCTCGTCACGCTTGGTGGAGACCACAGCATTGCGCTGCCCGCGCTGCGCGCTCTGCACCAGATCTACCAGAAGCCGATAACGGTCGTACACTTTGACGCGCATCTGGACACATGGAACCCTGTTCGATACAGCGCGTACTGGCAGTCCGAGCAGACACAGTTTAACCACGGGTCGTTCTTCCACAAGGCGAGTCGGGAGGGACTGATTTGCAATTCTACATCTGCGCATGCGGGACTGCGGACGCGACTTACTGGCGTTGATGCGGGGGATTATACGAACCCTGGGCCTGAGCAGGGATTCATTCGGGTTCATGCGGATGATATTGATGAGCTTGGACCTATGGGAATTGTTGAGACAATTATTGCGCGGACGGGACTTGATCCTGAGCAGCCGGTTTATCTTTCTGTTGATATCGATGTGTTGGATCCGTCCACGGCACCGGGAACGGGCACGCCTGAGCCTGGTGGTTGGACTACTCGTGAGTTTATTCGGATTCTGCGTGGGTTGGAGAAGTTGAATATTGTTGGGGCGGATATCGTGGAGGTTTCGCCGGCTTATGATAATAAGGGAGAGACCACTGCTCTTGCGGCGGCGCAGGTTGCCTTTGAGATTATCACCAGTATTGTCAAGTCTGGTGTTGATGAGGAGCTTGGTGGATGGTATGGGTGGATGGAGCAGGAAGCTGAGAAGGAGACCAAGGATGAGCTTTGAGCTATTTTGGATAAGTCTACGAGATACATGTTGAATGAAGCGAAGAATGAATGATATTGTATAAATCGAATGGTTTTCAGATGCTGTGTAAACTGGAGTGATCTCATGACACAGTTGAAACCTAGAGATGCTCACCCAGCCCCTGGAGGTGTTATATCAGAACTGTAGACCTCAGCAAATGACTTCATAGAACTGGTTGAATTGGTGTCCACTATCTGCGACTTTCTAAGAGAAATAGCGTTGCCCTGAAGTGAGACATAAATCGCAAGACTGAACGCAGAACATGAACAGAGATGCTTGTATCAAGACCGCGCGCATAGAGAGTAGTGGCGATGGTTAGATCAGATTGGAAGGGCGATTTCACAGGCGAAAAAGACGCAGAGAAGCCGGATCTGCAAGGGAACGGTACAGCAAGCTCAAATTCAAAGTCCGGGTGGCCGCAAAGCTGGAGTAAATAAATATCAGGACAAAAACACAGGGGCATATAGGGGATATGGGGGGAGTGACGAAAACAGCCCAAAACACGCCCTGACGTCCAACGCCGAGAGAGACGATCAAAAGAGGTGAAAGCGTCGGGTGCGGAGAAGGTAATAGGTAAGATGCGGAGAGGATAGCCAACGCGAAAAAAAGGGGGAGAAGGTCAAAATTGCGCTGTAGTTCGTAAAGGAGAGGAATGAGGATCGGGGGAAAAGTGAAAGGTGAGAATAGACGAGTACCAAAGGGTCCAGACCAGGTTGAAGACGGGCAGACGCAGCCAGGCGAAGCAAGAAAAGGAGCAGAAAAGGGACAAGGCAAATTAGAGAGGCTAGAGCATTGAACCAGGATATGCGAACAGAGACAAATAGAAGAAAAGGGGATGAAAAAAAAGCACAGAAGCCATTTTCAACTGGAAAACGTAGATATGGAACGCTTCAAGATAGCATCGCTAACCATAATACAAGACCACACCCTCCTTTTTTTTGTCGCTGAATTCGGATATCCCAGAAAGCCAGTCCAGCCAGAAATATTTGCCGCCCAGTAGAACGTGAAAGAGTAGAAAAAGAGAAATAAACAGGTTCATTCCATCGTAGCTGCTTCGAGGCGCGCGTCAACCAGGCATCAACCCAGGTGCAACATATCCGTCGCACTCGGACCCGTTGGATACGCCGTGATAAGTTCACAGCAAGCGGCAACCCCTTGACTTCTTCTTGGGCGCAGGTTCGAGTGCCGCGACAATAGCCTAAAAAGTAGAGCGGGTCAGTGGCGGTGTGGAGATATTGGGCAGCAAAAATGGAGGATTCGGTGTACCTCGTCAAAGACATCCTTCAGCTTATACTGTGTGAGGGCAGAACACTCGACGTATTTGACAGCGCCTAGTTCCTTGGCCATCCGGTCACCGTCTTCCTTGCGGATGGGCGACATTTTCTGGCGGGCGAGCTTATCCCGCACTCCGGCGTCGTCGCGCAAATCGGTTTGGGTGCCGACTATCAGGCAGGGAACACCGGGGCAGTGGTGGTGGACTTCGGGGAACCACTTTTCGCGGACGTTCTCGAATGAAGCAGGTGAGGTGACGGAGAAGCAGACCAAGAACACGTCAGTCTGCGGGTAGGAGAGCGGGCGCAGTCGGTCATAATCCTCTTGACCGGCGGTATCAAATAGTCCAAGGGTGTAGGGCTCATCACCGATCCTGGAGGAGAGCGATCGATTAGCAGTGTTTCTTTGAGCCTGGACTAACGTATAATATTTTTTTTTTGTCTCTGGGAGGGGCGGTTCGGCGAAGGATCACTTACATCACGGTCACGGCGTAGTTGTCAAAGACAGTGGGGACATATTCCGAAGGGAACTTGTTCGTTGTGTATGAGATGAGCAGACAGGTCTTTCCTACTGCACCGTCCCCCACCACGACACACCTGGATTGGGGTTAGCCATGAGATCTGGGTATTGGCCTCGGCAAGGGGATGAAGAGAGATGGAATAGCGTACTTGATGGTAGCGACGACCATTTTGAATTAATTTGAAGTAATGATGTAAGGATGTTAGAGAAGAAGAGTGTGGGAGACAAAAAGGGAGGAAGAAGCTGTGGTCTGGATTGAATGGGGCAACCCGCAGAGTGATGGAGTCTAGACGGCTAGTCTCGATACACGGTCTGTACAGCTCTTGATTAACACAGCCGTATTTATTCAAGATATTGAGATACTTGGAGCTTTAGATAGATAGATTTATATTATATCTTACATTTCAAATATTAATCATAAATCCAATGTCACTTAACTGCCAAGAGACATGGTATCTCCCATACTCGACTCCTATAAATCCTATAAATATCAACGGTTAACCGCCGTCGGATAAGCGCTGTGATCCATTTCTCTTTTCCCTGGTCTTGGAAGTTCTGTAAGGGAAATAAATCAAGGATACCATCTATATAACACCTATACACCTACAGCACCTATAATCCCATTAATACCAAGCATACCAAGTATACCAAGTATACCAAGTATAAGTCTCATAGAACCCGGGCTTATAAAGTGTACAAAAGGAGACCCCCCCCGGAGTATTTCCCCCCTTTTTCCTTTCGAGTCACTTTCTTTCACCCTTTTCCCGTGACACGAAAGGAAAAAAAAAAAAAAAAAAAGCAACTTAGGGAAAAAAAAAAGTCCCCCCAATTTCAATTCTGTTTCATCGTCACGGGTTCCCGGTCTTCCTTCGGCCCTGAATCTCCCCCTTTCAACCCGCCGTTTAACGTCGGTGTGATATCTAAGGAATACAATAATATATACGTACCGCGGTATCCATAGTTCATATACAGTCCAGTCCGATGCAAACCGTACGCCGCACTCTAGTCTAAACTCCGTCCTCCGTAGGTGGCTTATTCCCATCACAGCTTGGCAGTCCGATCCAGATCCAGTCCTCCCCAACTATCATCTTGTGGCCGAGGTCCTTGGCTCACATTACTGACTAAGAATGACTTCTCGTTGATGGACAATGACTGGCGGCTGACATGGCACATCTGTATGCTAGTGTGCATACCCCCTGTCCCCGTATAGTACGGAGTATACATTTACAGTAAGCAGATGCACAGGCCAGGGGTGTCCGGCAAATCCAATTCATATCTAATGTGCCTTCAAGAGCCCCCGTCGCGGTATCTGGTATGCATGCATGCATATATGCAGGTACATGCACGGGTAATATACATGGGTAGACGTGGTGCTTACGGGACCTGGGGCCGGGGGGATATCCATGGATGGTATACGAGCTGAACAAGGGCTGGGGGGAGGAAGAACTCCAAAGTAGGGTATCAAAAGCAAAGAGAAAGGAGATAGGAGCTGATTCAATCTTGACGGGTCTTGATAGGCTTTCAAGATCTGAAATAAAGTCTCCAAATCCAAAGCCTTCCGGTGACGGATAGCAGTGGATATAAGGCCGCGATGGGTGAAATTCGGGCTAGACTAGACCAGGACATTTCAGTTTGACATAAGTCAATGCAAAGTACCTTGTCTAGTGTGCGTGCCAGGGGGCATTAACTTTATTTCTGACCGTTGCAGATGATCGAGACCCCATTGGGCCATAGCTGCAGGAGACCTGTTACAGCCCGAAAGGTTTTGGAGCGGCAAGCCGGCCGGATCGGAATCGCTTGGGCTCGGAAGTTGGCTTTAGTGTACAGATGCCTGATCTACAGGTATACAGGTCTCTTGAAATGTTACAGCCTTAGATACGTCTAACCCCATGAATAAAGCAAATAATAACGCCAAATGCAAATGATGGACTGGGTCGTCCAGTTCGCAGAGAATGTATCGATGTGCCGTACCTTGCTCAAACAAACCAAAATGTCGCTTGCTGGTCTGTATCGAGATGCAATAACAAAATGTGAGCCATGAAACAGTCACACAAAAAAGCTCAGTTCGTAAGATCGTGATCGCCGTGCGGAATGCACGCAGGAATGCTGGGGGTTATGTTCGTTTGGAGTGTCTGTCATCTGGGCTAGGCTCTACCTCTGCCTCAACTGGAACCGAGTCACCCCGGGGGTTGGGACTACCGGAGCCCATCTAGAATCAAGTCAGAAAAGATCATCAGAAAACACTGTTTGGCAACTTACCTTGTCAAGTTTGTAATTGACCATGAGAAGACTTAACGGGATCAGGGGGAGGGTGGCGATGACAGCCAGTGTCAACAGCCGGTTCATGGTCTCTTGGTACGCACGGTTAATAGCAATGCGAGTTGCAGATCCCATTGGGTACGACAGAGCGGTGGTCAGCTTGCCGAAGATATCAGCAACTTGACTCTTGCTTTCCTCGGGGAGGTAGCGGAGAAGTTTGTGTGGGATGGCCGAGGACCAAACGGCCCCGGAGATGGCAGCGCCGACTGCACCGCCCATCTCCATGGAAGTCAGGAACATCGCAGTGGCTGCTGCGACTTCCTGGTGGCTGGCGGATGCTTGGACGCCTAGTTGGACGGGCACGTTGACTAGGCCACCACCAATGCCGATTAGGACTTGTGTGCCGAGAATTTGGAAGTGCGAGGCTCGTTCTCTTCGGTATAGGAGCATAAGGGCTAGGCCAGTCATGTATACGACACATCCGATGGTAATGTAGATGCGGTATCGTCGGGTATACTTGATAAGAATTGAGACGCCGAATGCAGAAATGGTGGCGGCGAAAGAAAAGGTCTGCGTGATGCGGCCGGCAGTGGCAACATCGTACCCATGTACAACCTGCAGGTAGGAATAGAGATAAGGCTGAACAGAAAAGTAAAAGGCCACTAGGTAAGGTTAGCAACGGCAGCTCGAAGGTCGAGTGAATAATTAGCTTACTGAAATACCAGAACGCCAATGCACAGCCGGCAAGAGCAGTCCTCTGCTTGAGAAGATGTAAAGAGAGCAGGGGCTTGGGAGCCAATTTCCTTGAAGACTCCCAGAGCGGTAGCAGACACAGGCAAACAACACCAAGCGCGATCATGACCAGAATACTGACGCTCTTCCACCCGTTCTTTGCAGTGGCCGCCAGAGTCAAAGGTACCAAAATTAATGTGACAGCAGCGGACAAAAGGGTGAGTCCGCCCACATCCAGATCGTACCAGGTCCGACGCATGACGCTGAGCAAGTTCGTCCGTCTTCTGGTTCGCTTTTTGATTAAATTTAATCTCTGGGCCTTGCGTTGGTTGAAGAGCAGCGTAAGGGCGAGTGGCAAGAAGGATGCAGGCAAGATGATAGCCCACATCCCATAACCCCATCGCCATGAGCTAGTGCGCAGCACCACCCCCGCAATGGTCGGCCCGAGCCAGACTGTAACCAGGAACGGGAATTGGGGCAGAAGAGCAAGGAAGGCACGATTCAGTAAGTCACTGCTGTCGGCGATGAAGACTTGTTGAAGGATCTGCAACCCCGTCGAGCCCGCAGAGTAGAAGATTTGAGCAGAGGCATAGGTCTGGACGTTGGTAGATCCGGCCATTTGGATGTATCCCAGCATGTATATAAGGATACTCAAACAGAAAGCCTCGAAGCGACCGAATACGTCGGCGATCTTGGCCATAGGGGGTTTGATGACAGCTATAGATCGATTATAGATTAGCAGCCGCTCCTTGCATTGAAGCGGGGTAGTAAAAGTCTTACCATTGACCACATTTTGAACAACTAGCACGGTCGAGATCAATGAGTGTTGACTAAATGCACTCGTCGCATATGCAGACAGCGACATTACAGTCTGACCTTCCAGTGATGTGCAGAATGCCATGAGGAATATACTGTACGCCAAGTCAGCAGGGGTTCAGCAAAAGCACGAGGCTGCAAGCCACACGGACCTGACGTAGGCTATCATTAAAGACTTCGCTGTCCAAGTCATATTGATAGCTTCGATCTTTTGAACTCCCTCCTGCATTTCATCCGGTGTGGACAGTCCACTAGACTGACCCTCGACCTCATCCTGCAACAGTTGATCTCTTTCATCCTCCATTCTGCTGTGTTCGTGTTCAATAGTGCCGTAGGATGGCTCTGAGCGTGGATCGAGAAGTGGCATCTCGGTGACCGACGCACCGTAACCACAAGATCGTATACTTTCAACAGGAATATTCTTTAGTGGACAGCATCCATGTAGGAATAACCAGCGAAAGATCTCGGTTTGGGATTGGTAGAAACCATATACAAAAGAGAGCGATCTTGAAAGCGGCGATTAGGCGGAAAACAGATCATCCGAAAAAAAAAGAGTTCATGCGACATCAGACGTAAGAAGCGGCGGGCGTATCACATAAAAGGGACGAAAGCCCACTCTAATTAGCAAGTACTTTGTAGCCCGAGCCAGTCAGGTCCGCAGGGAAAAAGAAACAACACGAGTTGTCAACAGCGAATCAGAGACCGGGTTAGGACAAGGCAAGAAGGAAATAAATATGGGGCGCGATATGTGAAAAGTCGTGGAAGCGCGCTTGCCTGGGTTTGACTCATGAAGGGCTATTGTATGTAAGAAGCAGGATCCGGTAGGCCGATATGGGGTAGACTTGGATATGGGATCCGCCGTGCTTCGGAAGATGACGCCCAAATGTAAGGGGAAGCTGGGCTTGAAGAGTTCAGGCCTGCAGGTCGTATGAGTGCGCAAAATGACACCAAGCCCGATCGTCGGTCGCACTTATGCACGTTGATGGGGTCTGTGGCAGAGACGTGAGGTGAGAGGCTGAGGTCGGATCTCAGCTCATCTCTAGCATTCCATGTCCAAACCAGTTCGACAGTGTCACAGTCATTTGGGACGTGGAAATCCCATGTCCAGTGTACTCCGTATATATCCCAAAGTTATGGGAAGATATTGTGAAAAAGGGAAATCAGAGGGGAAAAAAAGGTGGAGTGCTCAGGGCAAATCATTAATACAGTTGGAGGGGTACCCGCGGGATACCTTTGTTCACTCGGTGGCATGCGCTAAGTCTTTGGTACTGCCAAGTCACTTTTTCCTGGTTCATTTCATCAGATAAGATGTAGATTTTCTTTATATTATATTTGTTAACTTTTGTTGTGTATTTTTTTTCCTTCTATTTTGTACCATCAAAGACAGAATCAAAGAGGAATTTTTACATATAGTACAGCATAGAAATGTCTCCACTATCTGGCATCAACACGCATTGCTACCCCAATTAACTCCGATCTAGGAAAACATACCACCGGAATGTCAAAGTCACTTGATCCGAGAGACTATATCATTTTCCCTTCTGCTTCTATCGTACAACATTTGATCAAGTACTCCGTAGTTGAACCGGAATTTGACGGATGAAAGGAAAAGGAATCTCAAATTGAATTTTCTCCACATGTGTCATATCAACACGCGACTGGTGTTACCTCGGCTTCTGAGATAGGGCTTGTGCAGTGCATACACCCGATTATCGGGATATGTATATGTTGTAGATATAGTAGGATCAGATAAGTCCGATTGGAGAGGTATAGACTTAAGTAGACTTAGGGTTTCCAATAAGGTAATTTACAAATATACAATAGCATCCGTCGCGTACTTGTAGTATTAAAATGAAAACAGGAACAGAAACAAGACCCCAAATCTATAATTCACATATCTATAGCTAGGAATACAGGAATGCAGTATAAATTGTAGATGTGTATAAATTATCATCAATTATCCCAGTAATGCACCCAATGACCACCTAGAAGTTATCCACACATCGGGATCTGCACCATATTGGCCATCTTTGGCACGTACATAGTGGAGCCATAGTATGTCTGCAGCAAGCCGGTATCTTTATTTTTACCTAGACAGATCCTTACAAAATATGGTCAATGGTACCCTTGCTTTATGTTACTGCTTTAGCTATCCTATTCGTCATATGTATATCATGATTGTTCGCAGTGGCCATCACCATCTACATATTGGGGTACCCAACTAAGAACATCCCGTGGATCTATTCCTGGTTTATGACCAAACAACCAAAACGGACAGGCAGCTCGCCCTCACCCTCACTTGATGGCCGGGCAGCATAGAGACCAACCCACAAGTCCTTCACATTCTCCTCCCCAAAGACCCAAGTGACCTCCCGGATAGGAGACTTCTGCAAACCCTCGACAAGATAGATCCACAAACTGTTGTCCTTCTCCTTGACCAATTCGAGAGTTGCTGCACCACCACCTGAGGGCACAGGGAGCAAGCTCCAATCCGCCCAGTTGTCTTTGGCGACGACGCTGAGGTGGGGTCTGCCGCGGGTGAGTTCAATGCCACTCTTCACCCACTTCTGGCCACCATCTGCAGTATTCAAAACGAGGATCACGCCACCCTGGTCATAGTTCTTCTCCCAAGGGGCATTGAAGGCAACACGGATCCGCTTGAACGACTCCAGTGGGATCGACCGGTACAAGATCGGGGCTGAGAAGCGAAAGGTAGAAGGGGGCTGGGCCCATATATCTGTGGAAGCCGGTGCATTGATAGTAAACTCTGCTGGAGGAGTGCCCGTGGCATCACTCGGCACTTTGGCATCTGTGTTGGCAAATTTAAATTGTGATTGCGACATGGTAGGCTGTGGAATGCGGGGAAGCAATGTTATAATGTCAGATTGAAGTATGTTCAGTCACCACGCCGCAAATATTTGGACAAGTGAGTAGATTTAAGGTGGAAGGTCAAGAATTTCAAAGCAAGAGGAGGCACAGAGTGAGCGGAAAGATAAATGATTTCATCTGGGTGAAGACAACAGGCAATGCCCCAACCTCAGCTACGTCACTACATACCGGAACTTCCATCAAAATATCATGTTACACATATATTTTTGATGGGATTACCCCAATTGTGAGATACATGGAGTAAATATCAACTGTGTTATTACTCTCAATGTTTTGTTTTCTATTTAAAATCATATATATCGAATTGCAGTGACATTTGGGCTCTATGTTGTACATCATATACTTGCCCGATAATATCACGTGACTATGTTGATGATGTAAGTTATCCATGGGGCCCCGGGACAACGGGGAAAATCATCAAACAAGTTGCTTTTTGACTACCATAGATAATGGCTACTTTGTGCCACTTTATTGGATCAATTTGCAGTTGAAGATAGTCCCAAGGGTATATACCCATTTGGACACAAAAACCACCATGACTGCACGACTACTTCATCCCGATGAGTGGGAGCTTGCCTCACGGTCCTCAGTTGACTCGCAGGGGACGTTCAACCTCGACGAGGATGATTTTGAAGCACAAGTTCCTTCCTCGTCCAAATTTGGCCAACGCCAGGGCGGCTGGCTCTCCCGAATCATCTCTTCGGCGTCAGCGGGTTATCGCCGTCTGAACAATCCTTCTAGACCGGCCCTCGCAGGGAAACCACGACCAAGCTGTTCTCGACGCTTCTGTATTCGCCGCTGTTGCTACCTCCCCGTTGTCGCCGGCATCATTTTTATTCTCGCACTCTTCACCTCGATACTCTTCCCGTCATATACCCACCTCCCCGCACATTACTCTACACTCCGCAAATCGTTACTTGAGAGCTCATATCCCGGACGAGGAAATCCCCGCCAGGAAAAGATTTTTATCGCAGCAAGTCTGTATGATAGTGGTGGCGAGCTTGCTCAGGGCCAATGGGGAGCACAACTCCTGGAATTGATTGATCTGCTTGGACCTGACAATGTGTTCCTGAGTATCTACGAGAATGACAGTGGTGAGGAGGGAGAGCGTGCATTACGCGCGTTAGAGAAGCAAGTGAAGTGCCAGAAATCCGTTGTTTCTGAAAAGCACCTTGACCCGAAAACTATACCCACTGTGACCATTCCCGGTGGATCAAAGCGAATCAAGCGCATCGAATATCTGGCCCAGGTTCGGAACCGAGCACTACAGCCACTGACCGACCACCCAGAGATGAAATTCGATAAGCTACTCTATCTGAACGACATCCTCTTCCACCCTGCCGATGTCCCTCAGCTTTTATTCTCAACAAACGCCAACGAAGACGGTGTCGCCCAATACCGTGCAGCCTGCGCCGTAGACTTCGACAACCCTATCAAATTCTATGATACATATGCCACCCGCGATCTTGAAGGTTACAGCATGGGTCTCCCCTTCTACCCATGGTTCACATCATCCGGCAAAGGCGAGAGCCGAAGCGATGTGCTGGCCGGCAAGGACGCAGTGCGAGTGCGTAGCTGCTGGGGCGGAATGGTGGCATTTGATGCCAAATATTTCCAAACCGGTTCGCCGCCTACAACCCCCAACCCAGCACGCTTCCGCTCCGGAAAAGATCTGTTCTGGGAGGCGTCTGAATGCTGCCTCATCCACGCGGACATCCAAGACCCACCAACCAACGTCGACGATATCACCGATACGGGCATCTACATGAATCCATTCGTGCGGACCGCTTATGATCGCCGCACCCTCTCCTGGCTCGGAGTCACCCGCCGCTTTGAGGGCTTATACTCGTTCCTCCACAACCTAGGGAATCACCTTGTTGGTCTTCCTTGGAACAATCCCCGCCGCGCAGAAGTTCCTGGCCAAACTGTGCAGGAGACTGTGTGGGTTCCAGATGCTACGCAGGATGGTGGATCTTTCCAAGTCGTTGATCGAGTTGCGGGCAATGATGGTTTCTGCGGCCGTCGTGGCCTTCAGGTTATTGTTGAAGACCGTAAACCCGGGCAGAAAGGCTTCGAAAGTATACCCGTTCCGTCGTAGAAGTTTTAATGTTCTCCACTCAGATACCCATTCTACTTATTCTTGTTATATAGACTTCCTTACCTTTTGGTGTCTTCGTTGGATTGATAGTTTTGTTGGAGAGATCTTTATGAGGATTAAACAAATTAATAGGTGACTGATGTTTTCAATGTCCCCACCTTTGAGGTCATGCACCGAGCCTATATAGTCATCAATGTACTATCACGGCTATATAGTGCGGAAACAACATCCAACTGAAGTATACAGAGCACTGCCGCAAGGTCACCAGGCGAGGCCTATTCCGCGGGTGACTAGAAGGGCGGAATTAGCCCTTTTCCCCGCATTCCATACAAGGTCCAAGGTATAAACAGTACACGTAGTAACTAATTATTACGAAGCGAAGCGAAACAACCCATATCATAAGAGCTCGGGTATACGTCACGTGACCTGGATCATATATGAGGTCCAAATCCATAGGATTCCAATGCAGCAAAAATGTCATCGCTGAGAAATAGCAGAATAATTCTGCCGGCAGTAGATATACGCTAAGCCCGGCACTGAAATTATTTATCACGTGATATAACCCACCCGAGTCTAAATTCGGCGGTGATTATGTAGCTAACAGCACATAGTGATTACGTAATAACCTTATCACTTCGCTCCACAAGGACTATCTGGTGGCAAGATCCCTTGTACTAGTAGCACACTACCCAGGATCTCATTTCGGTGGACTTCACTATGGCCATCACCTCAGAAGCATTCATCTCAGTTTGGTCACATCTACCAACTATCCTCCTCACCCTTGCTTTAGTTCATTTCACTCGCAATTATCTCAAACCAGGAGCAGCGTCAATCCCCGGGCCATTTTTAGCTAAGATAACGAACCTTTGGAGGTTCATCGATGTTGCCAATGGTCGTACAGAAGTGACGCTTTACAGTCTCCATAAAAAACACGGGGACTATGTTCGACTAGGACCCAACGTGGTCAGTGTACGGAATTTGGATGCGTTGAAAACTATATATGGCACCAATAAGGGATATCAAAAGGTGGGTTCGAACTACAACTGATTGATCTCCACACTAATACTCGCAAGACAAATTTCTATTCTGTTCAGCAGCAGCTTGCCAAAGGCAGACCGACACCTACACTATTTACTACAACCGATGAAGCTTTCCATGCTTCTATAAAAAAGCCTATCTCGTCAGCTTACTCAATGAGTACTTTGACCGAGTTCGAGCCTTTTGTCGATAAGACTATTCATACTTTATTTGGGAGACTGGATGAGTTTGTGGCTGAAGCAAAAGTATGCGATATTGCCACTTGGCTGCAATACTGTAAGTGGTCTATTTCTCCCTATTAGATGTCAAAATAGGAGCCAACGTAGCTCATACAGACGCATTTGATGTCATCGGAGAATTGACATTCAGTAAACCACTTGGGTTCCTCGAGAAAGGAACTGATATCGACGGAATCATCATTGCACTGGAGCATATGTTCGACTATTTCGGAAAGGTTCGTAATGTGACGCCTCGGATGATCGGCTCGAAAGCTGATTATATTGAGTATTAGATTGGGCAGATGCCATGGCTTGACTACCTTTTCATCAAGAACCCTCTCAGGAGCTTTTTCAAAGGGGGCTCAACCGGAGCTGTGGCTCGCTTTGCTCGCGCCAGAATAGACGAACGACTGAACCAGAAAGGCACGTCACCAATGGCCAATAAACGGAAGGACTTTCTCGATCGTTTTTTAGAAGCAAAAAAGGAACACCCGGCTGTTGTCAACGATAACCAAGTCCTTTCATATACGATTAGCAATTTGAATGCCGGCTCTGACACAACGGCGATTTCTCTCCGAGCAATACTTTATTACACCCTGAAGAGCCCCCGAGTAAGTATGAAACTGCATCAAGAGCTCACCGTCGCCCTTGAGCAAGACCGGATCACTTTACCTGTCTCGTGGAAGCAAAGCCAAGAGCAACTCCCTTACCTCGATGCAGTAATTAAAGAAGCATTACGCCTTCACCCAGCCGTGGGATTGATGCTTGAGCGGGTTGTACCCGCTGAGGGACTCCAGCTTCCCGATGGCCCATTTCTACCGGCCGGGACGATAGTTGGTGCTAATCCGTGGATAATCCATCGTCACCGGATCTTTGGGGAAGATGTAGAGTCATTTATTCCAGAACGATGGCTCAAGATGGATACCGAGTCTGAGCTCGAGTTCCAGGACAGAAAACAGAAGATGCTTCGTGCGACATTTACTTTTGGGGCTGGTCCAAGGATTTGCATTGGCAAGAATATCAGTCTGCTTGAGATTTATAAGCTGATACCATCGTTATTTCTCAGATACAAGGTGGGAGACTCTGGTTCTAAAATGAGATTTGAGACTAACCTGGACATCCATTCAGATTGAATTCAATGATCCTAGTGCAGAATGGGCGATTGTTAATGCGTGGTTTGTGAGGCAAAAGAACATGGACGTGAGTCTAAACTTTAACGACAAGACCAAAATAGGATCGTGAAGTTCGGATGGACCTCGAAGGTGGGCGAGGGATAGGGAGGTTCGGTATTAAACTTGAAAAAGGCAAGACTAGAAAGGGCAATTCACTTTGCGTTTGCATTCAAGGGGTTTTATGATGCAGATACGGGCTAATTGTTCTTGGGAGATGATCACTAAAGCTATGAAGAAAAATATTGAAAAGCTTGAAAGGTATCACAGCTCCCTTTCTACCTAATCAGTATAGCAGCTAGCTTGATGAACAAGATATCATCCAAAATTCAAGCCGGTTGATGACAGCACAAGCATGCTCTAAGAGAGCAATGAAACCACCTTGTTGGGAGATTTCTTTGTTCGACAGAAAACAATGTGACTCTTTGCAAAGACTATAACTGAAGACGTTGATAGGTATAGGTTGTGCCTCATAACAATGACTCTTCTGTTGGACTTGGTGAAGTAGAAGTCACGGATGTCCAAATCCAACAAGCCTTTGACTCTCCGTCCACACCTCAAAAGGATCACAGTCACAAACGATTTAGGAAAGAGCCACGGTCAACACGTGCCTGCCCAACTCGACTCTCAGACGCGTCCGATAAATTGTGCTTTTCTTATTCTCCTCCCCCTTTTCCTCCATGGTATTATCTTTCATCATGGAGAAGCCTGTTGTGATTGGACCTAACGGTCTCGCCCCGATCTCGATTGAGCGTCAGGCCAATTTTCGCCTGACCACCAAGGTAATCTACGACGTCATCTCCAGTTGCAAGATGATCAGCCTGGAGGAGAGTATTCATGCTCCGCTCGCTGTACGTAAGAAGGCTCGTGCAAACCGCCTTGCTGGCGTGGAGACTGTGTCTGCTCAGCTGGCTACTCGTCGTTCCGCTAAGCTTGGTGTCTCGGATGACATGCCAAACCTTCATGATATCCAAAAGGGTATTTCAAAGCCTATGCCGCTCGGAAAGGTATGTCGTATTCTTTTTCCATCCACACCCCTGTCTACACTCTGACCTTTCCCATTGCATGTTCATGTTCTCCTCTCTGTGACTTGTTTCCCTTCCCTGTTCTGGTATTGTTCGTGGCTCCCATCAATCTCTGTCACTCTCTAGGATAAGTCGCATCTATCTTCGTTACTTCTGTCTCACACTGGCTTTCCATAGGAGAAGAACGCCGCTACTGCTCCTCCTCCTCCCGCTGCCGCTCAGAAGAGTTTTGGCATTGATCCACGTGCCAAACCATTTGTTCCTGTTGCTACCGAGTCTGCTGGACCCAAGGATGGAGTCGGTTATATGCCTCTGGAGAGCGCTCCTCGCAAGGACATCAACGAGCCCAAGAAAGACGCTGAACTGAGTCGTAACACCGCCGACAACGTTTCCACCAAGGATCTCGCCGCTAAAAACAAAAAGGCCGTTGGTACTCCCACCAAAGCTGGCGCCGGAAACAAGCATGCAGGCAACGAGTCCACTGTTGATTCCAAGACATCGCAGAAGGCCGAGTCTGTCGAGTATCAGGAGTCCACTGGCTCCTCCCAGAAGCCCAGGGGTGTTACGGCCCCAGCGGATTTCATGAAACAAGTCCGGCTGCTGCATTCGCAGAAGCAGGTTGCACCAAAGGTTGTGCCTGCTGGACCTCCTCGTCGCATTGTGTTCGGAAACCTTCCAGAGTGGGCCAATATCTCCGGCATTCTGCATCTTGTCTACGGCGGTGCTATTGAACGCGCATGGAGTGAAAATGGTGAAGTCATTGTGCAGTTTGTTGAGCAAGACGACTGCGTCAGATATTATGAGAACCACTCTGATGGAATCAAGGTGAACGATGGTGATGGCGAACTCGTTCTTTCTGTTTCTATGCCTGAGCATGGTTTGCACGACAACTCTGAGCTTTCCAAGCGAGTCGCAGAGGGTGCATCGCGTGTTGTTTGTCTCTCCGGTCTTCCCACTGGCTTCAAGAGTAGCGACAATGAAGAGATCTTAGGTATTGCCGCCAACCCTTCCTGGGGTAGCAAGGGCTTCGATCACATTCTGATCAAGCAAGCCGAGGCAAGTTTGCACGCCAGTAGTTGTATGTCTTGTGTCCCTACTGACCTGTCTTTCCCAGTCTGGGGTCGATGTCTACATCTTCTTCTACGATCTCCATGAAGGTTGGGAATTCTTGCAAAACATCAAAGAGGGGGCATATGACTGCATTGCCAGCTTTGAAGCTGACCCGTATGTGTCTGGTTTACAATTTTCGGATGGTTTCCTTTACTGACCAGTCGTTGCACCAGATGCGCTCGTGCCGAGGGATTCCACTTTGTTGATGAGCCCAACCAGATGCTGTCTAACATTATCGTGGAGTAAACGGGTATGAGCCTAATATCCATTGATGGCCACAACCGCGTCGAGGTTCATCATGGCCATTGGTTTCAAGACAGTGAAGCGGATGAGTTCAAAAAGACTTCTCTGGATTGAGATTTTTTCTATTTGTTTTCGATGGCTATTTCAGTTAAGGGTTCATCCTTTTGTTAGGACATGATTCTATCTACCGTAGCCCAATCAATGAAACACAAGTTGACATTCAATTGAGAGCCCTAGAGTGGAAACACAGAAACCACCGAGGAGTGTAGAAGCCCACGTGTACGGTATATAGCAGCTGCTACAGTGGTAGGAAAAATCCAACATGGCCATGCAGGTCAACCGTGACAATTGTACAACATTTTGTTATTCACATGCTCATCCTTGCACAACCTTGGCAAGATACAAAATCCCCGAGCAATCTAGAAGAAGACGGTGCGCCAGGGGACCACATGGTATATTGTAGTATCCCGTGCCGAGTACGGAGTATGTCCGTACTCCGTACATAAGAATCCGTCGTAATTGGTAGACCTAGATTAACTTAGTCCCGAGCTATGTCGGAAACGGCAGTACTCTCTTGCTCATTTCGTATTAGTGCTGATGCGATTCGCGGAAGAGAGTGGTCAATTAGAAGTCAATGTGGAGTACGGAGTACTTTAGTGCGAACTACTCCGTACTGCGTCAGTGGATCTGGGTTGTCTAAATTTGAGGGAACTTTTCCGTTGTTTGTGCCATAATATACTTGCACGAGAAACATGCAAGTTGCCCCAATTATGTAGTACTCGACTTGAGAATCAAGATTGGTTCCTGTATCACTGTGACACAAGCTGTGCTTCTATATCGCTCCTGTTGCACCTTTCATGTTACCTATATTGTTTGGTGTAGACTGGATGTGAAAGATCCAATTCGCTTTCAAGTTGATACTTGGTAGGTCCGTGTTGTGCAAAACATACCCCAAAGTAGATCTACATCAACATTCTTCTGGAGAAGCACTCTATATCGACCTACATATCTCTAACTATCAAAGTTCTGTCAATTGACAGATTCATATATTTTTTTGTTCTAGAGGCAACCGAACACACTTGACTGGTCAGCCCCTTTACTACGCCTAAGCCCCGCCCAAAATAACCATACAATGTGCCTCGGGAAATCATGCGGTTGAGACGGATCGGGATCTATTTTTGAGGGAGTAAAAAAATCTCATGGGACTCGTGGTTGATAATTCCCGAGCCCGTTAGGAAGCAGGATTGGGCCCAATTGCATTTGATTTGATCTTTGGCACATGAAGTACGGAGTATCTGAGGGTTGTAGATCAAACAATAAAAAGTAAATAAAAATATGACGATAAAAGCAAACGCCGAAGCGGGACATGTCAATTTTGTCTTTCCCTTATCGCCTAGACTCATCACAGTCAACTAGGTACGGACTTTGCGGGTCTACATCGTTTACTCCGTATTCTAGGTATGATTTCCATTAGACGCGTTCATCTATCGCTGATTAACTACATTAGCCAGATATGAAGAAAGAAAAAAAAAGAGAGAACAAATCACCCGATTGAAATGAGCAGTTGACCCCCCAATTTATATTGTATGCCACGGCACTTAAGTACTCCGTACTGCGTACTCCGAACTCCGCACCATGTGTCAACAATAAAATCCTTCAGCCTAAGCCCCTAACATGCCCATGGTCCCAGTCTTGGAAGCTTTAGTGAGAAGTAGTCACACGTTTACGCAACTTGGTCCGAAGACCCGAGATCTTCATGCTTAGTATATTGTATAGAGGACCGATTCGGAATACACTTGCCTTGGCATGAAGGATTGCAGACCCCACGATCGACGGATCTGAGGGATTGGCCGGGCTGTGGATAGGTTCTTTTCTTAGCACGGTCTGGCCGGCTGTATTAGCCGGCTGTACGGATAATCAAAACGTGAGTGATATTTTTCCAGGGAAGAACACAATGGCCATGATCGATGCTGCATATACATTGTGAAAAACGAATGTACATTCTCAACGGGTTCCATTCAACGGTTTCAGGTATAAGCTGTGAGAGGTGAAACAAGGCTGGACGGTGTTGGATATCGAATAAGGTGAGGAAGAACCATGTACATTACTCGGAATTTGGAAAGATTATTGGCCTAGTATGCGTGATTGGGAAGGACAGAAAGCAAGGGGAGTTGTCTGAGGATGTTGAACGATAATGCAAAGAGAAGGTAATGAAAATTCAGCCCTGGGAAATGATGTGATGCGTCATACCGGTTAAACATAAAAGCTTAAGAAATGATTTTAATTCAAGTTCAACGACTCTATGATGGTCATATCTAGATCTAATCCAACTGATATTGACTCTCACAAGTACGGATTGCTCCATACAACGTATTGTAGATATTATATGACCCAGAAACCCGTGGACCTGGTAGGAAGCGAAGGTGAACAAAGAAACGACAGGAACCCGAGTGGAGGAGAGTAAACGAGAGAACATCAAAAAGACAACAAAACCTCCCACGCTGAACAAGAGGTATCTTAAATAAAGACGAAGACCGACCCACGCAAAAACAAAAGACAGACAAATTGACCTCCCAGAACGTTAAAAAACCAAAAAAAAAAAATCACATCCGTCGCAACGCAACATCTCTATCCTTCCTCATCCAAGGATACCAAACATTGGTATATTCCCTAACCCCAAACTTGGGCGCAGAGCCATGATCTCCCGCCAACGCAGCAGAAGCACCCTCCCTCAAAAACTCCCCATCCCGCATACGCCTCTGTTCACGGAGAGTGGGACACTTCTTCTCCTTGATGAAACGGTAAAATTTGCACTGAATACCCTGGAAGCCGCGTCTCTGACGGTCCGGGAACTGCCGATTGAAAGCCTCACGGACCTCCTTCCACTCCTGACACAAGTCGACCCGGTGGTACCAGATGAAGTACATTTCCTCTTCCTCATACTTTGGACGAGGAGGCCGGCGGCGGTCGCCGTTAGTAGAGGAAGAGCTGGAGACGCTGGAGAAGCGCTCGCGAGAATGGTAGGGGTCTGGCGAGGAGGGAGTCGAGAGCGAGCTTTGGTTTGTACTTCCGCTCGCGCGATTGCCCGTGGCCGAGGGCCGATATGTGAAGAACATTTGGTGGGATTGGGGTGGGTTTACGCTGTGGTGACTGGCGTTTGTGCTGCTGCTCTGGGTTGTTGCTGTGGTTGTATTGGATAGTGCGCCTGGGCTGGTGTCGTGGTAGTTCCGATTGTACCAGTAGTTTGGGCTTGGGGGAAGCTTGGTGAGGGCTGATGGTAGCTATGACGATGGGATGGGATAGAAGCGTGTTGGGTACGTGGAGAGTCATCATCTCCGTCGCCTGGATTTAGCAAGGCGTCGATTTTCATTTTGCTTTGTCGTTCTGATGGCAGTGTTGCGTATGATTCTGCGTGTGTTGCCATTTTCGATAACATGTACAAACGAATTTATAGAGACCAAGCTTCCAGAAAGCTCAAACCAAGTTTGATAGTGGGGATATAGAGTTGTATATCAAAGAGCCAATGGAGCACGGAAAGGAAGTATAAAGGGGTGGGCAAGGTTTATAGATCTCGGAAACTCTAGAAAAAGAAAAGAAGCCTGGAGCACACACAGTCTTAAATGAAGAGAAAAACAGCAAAATAGTCGCTGTTGGGTGTACTCGTTCCTTTGGCCCCCCTGTATAGCTGTGTACGGATACAGGCTCCATGGGCTAACAGGGGTCTTTTTTCTTTTTCTTTTTTTAATTCTTTTGGGAGGTTTAGTTCCACCCCCAGATAATTAAATAAAAAATACAACATACATTAAAAAGAAAAGAAGAAAAAAAAGAATTAAACCGGTGAACCGGACAGACATCACCGTGGACCTTTCATTATTTTCGCCACTTTGATATTTGAAGATGTGGCAATGGCTTCGGTCTACTCCGATTTTGCAATTGAATCAATGTCTACTATACCCTACTATATAGCTCCTTGAATTTTCTTTGGTATTGCAAGTTACCCGGTGCTACGCGGTAATCAAAATTACATACGACATACGACATACTCCGTACGTTTAGCCCTTTTACAATCTTAGCGCCAAGGCAAAATTTAAGAATGACAAATTTCATATCGACCCGATATTAGAACCATTGCTATCTCTTTATGACTAGCATAGGGTCGAGATTCTTTGGGGACTTAATCTAATAAAAAAATCAAATTTTCAAAAAGAAAAAAAACTACAGAATTCGCGTACATTGTCTATTTTAGTGTCAGTGTTTCATTTTGCACTGTCCAACGCTACCGTACCCGTTCATGTGAGAAGTGGATAGGTAGAGAGCTAATACAGTCAGATGTTGACTGGGGGGGGTTTTTTTCCTCATTCTTTTCTTTTTTGTTATTCGAGGTCATGGATAGAAGGGAAAAAGACTGCAGAAATTAAGAAGAAGAAAAAAAACCAACACAAACGCGCCGCGTCTATTGGTAGACGCAAAAGTCATCTGTTGCGACGTGCGCCATGGCCCTGGGATGCCGGGACGAATGAGCGTAAGGAGCTAATGCAAGCTCAATTTGGCCAACACATCCAAGGCTGCCAGGTGCATTATGAGGTAAGAGTGCTTCTTGAAGATTGTAGCACACAATTCTCCTCTATCCTCTTCAGGACCTTGAACGGAGCTAAGTTGATACTGGTTGAGATTGTACACATTCAGTAACAGCACCGAGAGCAAACCGTGGATTGACTTTTTTATCTCAGACGCGGGGAGATTGGGGGAGCGCCAGCGTTAACTCGGCAGCAGCCGATATAGATTTCCGCAGTCAACTTGCATCATAAATTTGTGACGATGCATCTCACTCCACTTATGGCCCTCAGACGTTACTCGCGTGATAATTTTCCTATGCGCCATTTTTTTTTCGATCTGCGCCTTGACCAGATCGTCAGTCTGCAGCCGCCAACGGTTTCCTTGGATTTTCTTCACGGTTTACATTTGAGAAAAAAAAAAGTATAACAATATAGATTGTAGGTATC